TTGTTGTAAAATATACCTCTGCAAATGCAATGTATGTAAGCAATTCAATGTAAATACAAGGAATAACATGTAGTGAGTTTAATTTTAACAGATCCCCAAATGGGGCTCATGGCAGGTAATGGGTTAATAATATTTGATTTAAAGAGGAATAAAAAGATACCGGCTCGTATATAAAAGAAAAAAAGTTACGCCCTAGAACAATTCTGAATTGTGATTCGTTATCGGGGTACCCTGTTTAGTGTATTATGGATGTCTTAGTTTGTCGTTACTCAATGATTTAAAAAGTCAATGTTTTTGTTTTTTGTTTGTTTATTTTTTTATCCCCACCGAACCAATTATAACATGAAGAATCCTGATGTGCTAGACAAATTTTATAACAGATTCGGAATCAGTGTAATTAACTTAGGACGAAACATATGATTTTGTCTCATTAGTAAGAATTTAATTGTTGCTCACAGAGACTGCTGATAGATTTTGGACAGTCTCTGCGTTTAGAAAAAAAAGAAAGAAAGAAAGAACTGTTTGAGGAAAAGGGAGAAATAAAGAAAGAATGAAATAAAGAACTGTTTAAAAAGAAAGAAAGAAAGAAAGAACTGTTTAAAAAGAAAGAAAGAAAGAACTGTTTGAGGAAAAGGAAGAAAGAAAGAAAGAAAGAAAGAAAGAAAGAAATAAAGAAAGAAAGAAAGAAAGAAAAACGGAGAAAGAAAGAAATCAAGCAAGCAAGAAAGAAAGAACTGTCTGAGAAGAAAGAAAGAAAGAAAGAACTGTTTGAGAATAAAGACATAAAGAAAGAACTGTTTGAGAAGAAAGAAAGACAGAAAGAAAGAGAGAACGAAAAAGAAAGAACTGTTTAACTAAAAGAAACAAAATAAATAAAGAGTGTGAGAAGAAAGAAAGAAAGAAAGAACTTTTAAATGGGAAAGAAAGAAGTGCGAAGAAAGAAGCAAAAAAGATAGAAAGAAAGAAACAAAGAAATAAAGAAAGGAAGGACTGTTTGAGAAGAAAGAAAGAAAGAAAGAAAGAAAGAAAGAAAGAAAGAAAAAATGAGGAACTGTTTAAGTAAAAGGAAGAAATAAATAAGAAAGAATTTGAGAAGAAAGAAAGAAAGAACTTTTAAAAGGGAAAGAAAAAACTGTTTACAAAGAAAGAAACAAAAAAAGACAGAAAGAAACAAACAAAGGAAAAAACAAAATGAAAAAGAAGGGCCATTTTGGAAGACAAATAAAGAAGCGTTCATTTTCAATTAAAAGTGTCAAATGTCAAACCTAAAATATTATTGCCAATTGTGTAACTAAACGTTTCCTTATAAGGTAACATTCGGCCTTCGTTAATGAAGCAGTCAGCGCTACTATAGTTTAAAATTTATAAAAACTTTCTCTTAAAATATTTACAAAATAGTCTTCACAAATTCACTAACCATTATTGTGTTTTTCTTGTACTGCAGGGCCTTTCCTTCCTAACCAATTGTTTTAAGTAATATGGAAAGTCAACATCTTTATTATAGCATTATTTTCACTTCAAGTCACACGCGCTATGAATTTTAGTTGTTGGGAGTTTTCCAGTGAACGGGCTTTTGCTATTTCGTAAAGTGTGGATGTGAGAGTGGTGTAATGGTTAGCGCCTGAGAATGAGTAATCTACGGTTCGATTTTAAATGGGTTTGTTAAATTCAAATATCCTTGGGGAAGGTATCAAGCTATCGTCTCCCCTAAGATATGAGTTAAATAGTTGAACACGTAGCTGGAAAATATCAATTTTATTCACTCACAAAAAAGAAGTATTCTTACAGTTCTATGTGATGTCATGAAATCTGATTGCCTTCTTATTTTTTGCTCCTCCCCTTAATACTTGGGCTCTTATATAGTCCCTCTGCCTTCTTCTCCTTTATTTACTGTGATCTCTCGGGGCCTAGGCGATCATGGCTCTCCACAGCTTCCTGTCATTTCTAGCTCGTAATAAATTTTGTTTTTCTGTTATTTCTCCTAAATCCTGTTTCGTGATCCATTTACTCAAGCTCATTATATGTCAGGTGCTGTTTTCCTCTGTTTCTCTTGCTCTCCTGTAGAGAGCAAGATTATCAGATTTTCCAAGCCGTCCTTCCTCATTAAGTGCCCTAGAAATATCAACTGCATCTACCTGATGTTTATAAGTTTCTTTTTTGTTTCTATTTTTCTAAAATTTCGTCGTTGCTCGCATGTTCGGTCCATGGTATCCTCAGCATCTTTCTGTAGAACCACATTTCTGTTGCTTCAGAATTCCCCTGCATCTTTGTGGAGATTGTCCAGCATGCACCGCCATACAAGAGAACATGACACATATCATGTGACAGTTTAGTGCACTATTTGTTTCTAAAGAAATGCTTTTATTTCTCAGTACACTGCTTATCGTCTGGAATGCATGTTTGGTTTTCCCAGGGCGCCTTTGGACTTCAGTCTCGCACATTTTGTCCACTGCTAAAACAATTCCCAGCCTTATCTATGCTAATTATGAAGTCATTTACATATAACTCTAATATTTAAAGACAAAGATCAAATAAATAATTATGAAAGAAAAGAACGAACGCGTTTAATCATTAGAAGAACGAATATATACACCGTATTCATTTTGATAATAATATTTTGAAAACACCAATTTGTATTTCAAATAAATATTTGATGAAAGACAAATTTGATAATTAACGAACGTATTTGTATTTGATTTATTTCATTAAGAAGAACGAATTTGTATTTGATAATTAAGGACACCGTATTCGTATTTGATAATGAAGGACACCGTATTTGTATTTGATAATTAAGGACACCGTATTTGTATTTGATAATGAAAGACATCGTATTTGTATTTGATAATTAAGGACACCGTATTTGTATTTGATAATGAAGGACACCGTATTTGTATTTGATAATTAAGGACACCGTATTTGTATTTGATAATTTTTGGGTTAAACGTATTTGTATTTGGGACACCGTATTCGTATTTGATAATGAAGGACATCGTATTTGTATTTGATAAATAAGGTCGTTTTTTTTTAATGAAAGACATCGTATTTGTATTTGATAATAGGACGCCGTATTTGTATTTGACCTAAGGACACCGTATTTGTATTTGATAATTGACACCTATATTTTAATGAAGGACACCGTATTTGTATTTGATAATTGAGGACACCCGTATTCGTATTTGATAATGAAGGACACCGTATTTGTATTTGATAATTAAGGACACCGTATTCGTATTTGATAATGAAGGACATCGTACTATTTGTCCGTTTTGTATTTGATATTGAAAGACATCGTATTTGTATTTGATAATTAAGGACACCGTATTTGTATTTGATAATTAAGGACACCGTATTTGTATTTTGATAATTAAGGACACCCATTTCATTTGATAATGAAAGACATCGTATTTGGAACTTGCATCAATATAGAACAGTCTAACCTCTACTTAAGTGATCGTAGGTCGTTTTTTGAAATAAAAGGGTTCAGTTCGAAATTCCATTGTCC